AACGCAGCCTGTCATGACACCCTCTGCTGCATCGAAATCCTTATCTATCATCTAATCAGAAGATCATCGCCATCATGTCTTCCAAGATCGTCCCCGTCATTCAACCAGTTCCTCTCCAAACAGGTCCACCAGAGTATGAAGCTCTGCGGACATCCATCCTCGAGGAGTTTGGCAGCACTGTCCCAGACGAATTCCGTCTTCCAAAAAGCCTCATCGACAATCCCCCCAAGAACGTAACCGACATCCCCAGAACCTGTGGTATCTTGACCGAGCAAGAAATCGACATCACAGAGAACTACGACGCCACAGCACTCGCAGCCGCAATCGCATCACGAAAATTTACATCCGTCGCTGTCGTCACTGCCTTTGCGAAAAGAGCTATCATAGCTCATCAGCTAACATGCTGCTTAACGCAATGGATGTTCGAGAAGGCCGTTCTGACTGCGACGCTTCTTGATCAATACCAGGACAACACTGGGATGACCTGCGGTCCTCTACATGGCGTTCCAATCAGTATCAAGGAGCACATGCCGATCAGGAACCAGTGGTCAAATGTTGGATACTTGGCGACTCGAAAACTTGACACGGAGAGTTGTCAGTTGGTCAAGATTCTCGGGGATGCGGGTGCTGTTCTGTACTGCAAGACGAACCAGCCTCAGTCAATCATGCACCTTGAGACTACGTCGCCGTGGGGAAGAACCCTGAATCCCCATAACATCAATCTATCGGCCGGTGGGTCTACGGGTGGCGAAGCTGCTCTTATCGCTCTTCGTGGTTCAGTCTTGGGTATTGGTACAGACATTGGAGGAAGTGTTCGTGGACCAGCTGGCTTTTGCGGCATCTATGGTCTCAAGACGACTTCTTATGTGTTCCCTCAGAAAGACTTCTTACCAGGTGGTTTTGCTGCTGAACTGAATGTCTTATGTTCAGCAGGACCAATGTGTACCTCGCTTCGGGATGTGGATCTCCTCATGTCGGTCGTCTCTGGTACTCGCCCTTGGCTGAAAGACCCCCGACTCGTCCCTCTTCATTGGACGGGAAGGTTGACTGAGAACAAGCCCCTGAAGATTGGGCTCATGATCAATGACGGGCTCATCACTCCACAGCCTCCAGTGATAAGGGCGCTTGAGTGGGCAGCCCGGGAACTCCGATCCAAAGGGTTTGATGTCAAACCCTTCCAACCCTACGGGATGGCAGAAGCGATGAATGGTATTCGCCGTGCATACTGGCCAGACGGGGGCAAAACAGTCAAGGAGTATCTCGCAGCCACGAATGAACCCATGAACACCTTGACTAAATGGATCATCCAAGATGCTGAAGGTCCTGGACTCGATGCCAATGGCGTTCTCAAGCTCCGTGTAGAACGCGATGATTTTAGATGTCGTTTCGCAGAGCACTGGGAGTCACAAGAAGTAGACTTTGTGATATGCCCTGTCTTCGTTGGCCCGGCGTGTTCTCACGAGACAGCGCTATACTGGAATTACACCGCGCTCTGGAACTACGTTGACTACCCCGGAATTGTGATCCCTACGCCTATCAAGGCTGGCGCGAAGGGAACTGAGAGTTATCCACCGAATAGCACTCCATTGAGTAAGGAAGAGGAACAGGTCAGGCACTTCTGGGAGGAGGGCGATTTTGAGGGAGCGCCTATCAATTTGCAGGTGGTTGCGAGGAAATACTATGATAATGATCTTTTTGCGGCGGTGACGGAGATTGACAAAGTCATAAACAAGCAATAATTGGATGGTTTATTGGACCTTTGAAAGATGAGATGTGATTGGTAGATGAGTAGCCAACCAGAGTGATAAGCACATATGTGCGGTCAGCATGTGCCTCTGCATTTTTTCGGTTGCCCCAAATGATGTTGCCCATTTCAGTTTCCAGCTCACATAGAAGAAGGGTTAATCTTCTAGTAATGATACATCCTTGCTATTCGACTTAAATATTATACCTGGAAGCAATCTGTCAACCGAAAAGACGTTGGCCATTTCGCCTTCGAAATATTATTCTTGATTGCTTTCACCAACTGCGAAATAATGGTCTACCGATTGGTATCATATACTACCGTCAACCATCTAAACATCTTAACCGCAAACTGCCTCGAATATGCATGGATCTCCGTCCAACGAGGGACCTTCGACGGTAGAGTCGGGCCCATCCTCACAGCCTCAGTATTCCTCCCACAACTACCCGCCACCAAACAGCCCCGCTCAGGTCATTCAACCAAATGTACCGGCCTATGGTCCAGCTCTACCAACTTCTCAGTATCAGTACCCACCTCCGCCTCCTGCACCCTTTGCCGCTCATGCATATCCCCCGCCTTCGTCATTTCCTTTTTCCGAACCTGGTCCGGGGTTTGCGTCTGCTCCTAGACAGAGAACCTCAATTGCCTGCAGATATTGCCGCAAGCGTAAGGTTTGTCTTACAATGAGTTGAAGTGAATTCTGCTTAGTATCATGCCGCTGATATTCCTTAGATCAGATGTAGTGGTTTCGTCAGTGGGCCTGGTGGTAAATGTCAAAATTGTGCTAGAATGAACCAAGAATGCATATTCGCACCTGTCTCAACTTCTTCCTCTACTGCGTTTGTCCCTGAGAATATTCCAACGATCCCAGAGGCTATTCCACCGAAGGAGCGTACTTATGGTTCCTTCAGTCGTCGGTTCAGCCAGGCACAACACCAAAACAATGATATCAGTACCTCTGAGTATAGAGCCTACCCAAATCCGTACCAGGATTATCATTATTATTCCCAGCAGTTTACTTTTCCTCCTCCGGCTCCTCCTGCAGACCAACAGGGGGGTTATGGCGATGATCGGCATACATCATTTAGACGAAGGCAAGACGACTCAGACTCGGCTAAAGCCTACATAGCGCGAGGAAAGTTCTTCGGGGCTGATATCGCCATGCCTATCGATTCAGAGCCAACGATCGATGGTTTCGGCGTTTCAGCTCCCTGGGAAAGTCGGAGTGCTTCACGACCTGGAAAGCCCGTTCAGACACCGCAAGGCGGTGAGCTGCAGCCTCAACTGCCCATCCCGAGTTTATCTGTTCTTCAAAGCTTCGAACCTCGATTTCCGGCATCTTCACTGGCGATACGACAAGACAATGACCAGAAAGACACTAAGGTGGTAGAAAGCTCTGTTGATGACGTGGAGGTCAAGTTGAGAAAACCACCTCAGGTCTCAAAAGAATCTATGGAGCTACCTGATCCATCAAGGTTGAGAATAAGGTCCCTCACCCCATCATCTTCCCCGACTGTGTCATCCGATATAGAGGTGGAGTCAATATCTGCAGATTCAGAAGGTCAATTTGATAGGAAGAGCCGAGGGTACTGCGTCTTCAGCCAAGTTTTCAGTCGTCTAGCGATTCTCTGCCAGAACGAAGTAATGACAAGAGGTGAATCAAGCAGCAGCAATTCGAAAGGAAAGCAAGTTGCAAAAGGTGTCTCTGCAAGCTCGTCTGGAGCTAGGGATACAGCGAGCTTTAGAGGGGGACAGAAGAATCCACGGCAAGGCGACGATGATGGAGATGAAAGTAGAGATAGACAAAACGAACCACCCAAGAAGAAAGGCAAGACAAGTCAACCCCATTGTGACGAGCGGTCACAGTTTCTAGCGTGCCCATACTGGAAAGCGGACTCGAAAAAGTATTGGGATTGCTTCCTGAAGAAGAACGATACAATCGCACACTTGAAGCAACATCTAACGCGGCGTCATACACCCAAGTACTATTGCCAAATCTGCTACCAGACCTTCAGAGAATTTGATCTCTTTGACTCACATGCGTTGGATCGATCATGCACGAGAGGTCCCTCGGCAAAATTGGAAGGGATATCTCAGCAACAAAAGAATCAGTTGTCTCTAAAGAGTAAGGGGTCTGTGGAGCAACAGTGGTATACAGTATGGTCGATTCTCTTTCCTGGCCTGGAGCCACCCGCTACGATTTACATTTACTCGACACAGTCTGAAGACTTTTGCCGGATTCAGGAGTTTGCGCAACGAGAGGGAGTTACTATCATGCTCGACGAGCTAGAGTCCAATGGACTTATAGTTCGACCGGATGCATCTAACCAACTGCTCCGATCGACCGTACAGAGAGCTATGGTTTCGATATTCACAAGCTATTCCAACAGGGGCGAAGCAAGTTGTTCTGAAGCAGAAGAGCCGATCTTCAGCCAGGCTGCAGAGCCAGACCATGGAGTATCGCTTCAGCAGGAATCAAACACTGAAGGTCAAATGGGCCACGGGAATAATCCCACTAGCTGTACTGATGTACACCAGATGACGGAAGACGGGAGGGATAGTTCTATGGTGGGGACATTGGACAGACCGAGCAGAAGTACATGCTCACAATTGCCAGTCACGACTTCATGGCTTCCTAGAGGGGTTGTGCTGGACGACGCCGAGGATGGCCTATGGGGAACGACCTTTCTTGATGGTACAGAATTTAGGGAAAGTTCGCCAGGCGGGATTCTACCTCTCAACCTTGAGAGTTCAGACATGTTGGACTTGGATGCCTTGTTGAGAGATGTCATAAGTACTGAAGCATAATCTATATACCAGATTATTTTAGTAGGACAGCCGTGGGCTGAACCAATACCGAACATGATTCTTGTATGATTCTTCTTATTGTTGCGCATGGCAACTCTACCAAGGCCAAAATCGCCTTTACACAACGCCGATGACCAGGTAATCGCTGAAGTCTAACTACTGTGTATGATCTATTATCTTTAAATACCGACATTGCACTGTCCTGCCTTGGGAACTATAAAGAATTCCCCGACCTGCGCCATCATCTCATTTGTCATACCATGGTGTATCTGTAAGCCTCTACATTGGCGGAAAAGCATAGCCAAAGTAACAAGGATCTCCATCCGAGCCACATGCATACCAACGCATCTCCTTGCACCGATGTTGAAAGGGACATGTGCTCGTTTCATTTCTGGGGTTGGATTCAGGAACCTGGTGGCGTCAAATCTACTCTAGTCAGCAACAGCACTCAAACCATGGTAGAAGTCACATACCTATCTGGCTCGGGAAAGACATCTTCAAGTCGGGAAATGAGCCATCCGGTCGTGTAGACCATCGTGCCCCCTGGGATATCCCAGTCATGAACGGAGATCCCACTCGGAGGCACAAGTCTCTCTACTAATGCTCCTGCAGGATTATACATCCTAAGAACCTCTTCCAAGACACTATTTAAGAGGGGTAGAACTTCAACTTCCTTGGCCGTGAAGTTCATCGGCAAGCTGCTGACCTCTTCTTCGATCTGTCCCCGGAGGTTTGAATCCCGGACGATTTCCCATGTTGCATATGTCAAAGTAGTAGCCGTACTATCTGAGCCCGCAACAAGGAGCATGGCAACCTCTGAGCTCAACTCATCGTCGTTCAAGCTGGGTCTCTTACCCTTCGCCTCTTGACTTAACAAGTGACGGGCGATACTTGGGCCACAGTTTGACGAAACTCGTAGTTCTCCAAGGGCTGCTGTTACTCGGTTGAAGATGGTTTCAGTGACTTGACCAACTTCTCTCAGCCAGGTAACAGGAGACCACTTGAACAGAGATATGAGTCTTCGGGGGAGTACTGCTTGGCAAACCACAGAAGGACCAGCATTGCTCAAGGCCGTATAGAGCGGTAGACCTTTCCCACCCGAATGCAATAAGTTGAATGATTTGCCGAAAGACATCTCACTGACGACATCAACAGCGAGGCAGCGCCACCATTTGTAGACATCAGCCTGGCCTTTCTCGGCCTCGTTCTTGATGCTGGCTACTGCCTGACTGGCCAGTCGACGAATTTTCACTTCCTGTTCATCCTTTATTGACGAAAAGCCTCTACCAATGATCCGTTTGCGCTCAGAGTGGATACGAGGATCTCGCATGGTGAAGAGCATAGATGAATGGCTGAAGCGGATATGGTCAAAGACGGGTGCTTTCAGGCAGTGGCTACCCACGCCGTGTACTTTGTAGTAGCCATCGACGCTGTTGATGGATACTTCCTTCGGTCCAACTCTGACGACTGGACCGTGAACCTTGTGGAGATGGCGAAGATGCTGACGACTAGTTCCAATTGCTCTTGTGTATAACAATGGAAGACCACTGAAGTAGGTGTACCATGGCCCAGGGAGGTGTGAAAGTGGACCACGGTAGTAGTTGAACGTAGCTCTAAGTGCGAGAGCTAAGAGAACAACAGCGAGGACAGGCATGACGGAGAGAAACATTGCTTCAGCGACAAGTGGTAGTGGTTGTCAACTAACTCGTATGAAGTTATGTCGATCTGTGGATCCAGGCTACTTTATGTACAGCCTTATAACCTGTAATCTATCCCAACATCCATACTCTCAAATTTCACCATGATATCCTCAGGTCTGGAACAGTTTCTAATCTTTGGGGGCTGACTAGCTCAGCCCTGAGAGTCAAGGGTGAAGTCCCATAAGCGCCGCTGAATAAACTAACTCTGTCATGATACCCGCGATGTCACTTATCTCATGCACGATCGGGGTCTAAAATGCCAGCTGGCATGGTATCATGTGTACTATTTTAGTGCATTGCGGACGGGCCAGGCCGCGTCTACTGGGTCTTCTTCACATGCCAGGACCTCAAAAAGCTTGGTATTGCTAAGTCGAACGGGTATCTGAAACCTATAAGCCACTATGTAGTACAAGAATAGCCACTTGACATGAGGGAATTTCTCCCGGCCTTCTAGAAATGGTAGTACACGGAAGAAATCGATGATGCTGTTACTCCTTCCGGCTTGTATTCCGCAGATCCACTTTCTTTCTGCAAGATACCTTGTACATATTGGTTAATGCCCTACAGCCGCATATGCACTGCGCCCTGTAAGCCTTACGAATACTACAGCAGCCTAAAAATGACCCGAGATACCCGAAACTGTCGAACTTTGAGGGCTTTTTTGTCAGTCATATCCTGGCCTCGGGGGGCAGGAAAACACGAGACCTAAGTTTAGGGTGTCAAAATAAACTTAGTAAAAGTTATCCTAAGCTTAGGCTATATTACCTAAGTATTTCTATCATTTAGGATCAAGGTCCTGTGTTTTCTTTCCTCCCCTAGCCTGGTGGTGCCGATGTCTAGGATCACTTTACGGGCGCTTAGTCAAAAGCCTTATGGCCCCTGCTGCATTGGCCTCGCATGGACACACTCGTTATTGGCTTCGTTGGGGTATTTGAGGTAATGATGCTCCGCCACGTGGTGCTGGAAAAGTCGAGCTGCTGCAGAGTAAAATCTCTTCCGAAGACTGTGGTGTGTTGAACAAGATGGCATGTGGAACCACTCATGTAACTCTTCGATCTCAGCCGCAGCTGTCTTATCCTCAGAGACACTTTGCACTGGTAATTAGTAGATAATAACACAACCAGTACGGAGTATTCTTATCATGTCTCGGGTATCATGGTATTATTGCATTGCACCATCTGCTGCAAGCCTGATAATGGCAGCTGAAAGCTCTTCATGGAGTCACGACACCACGCTACCCAGAAACCCGCCAACAGCGCTTACGTTTTACGCAAGTCCTTCTTTCTCACTATTATTGGGTCATTCACCGTTTTCTGCTTGAGCCCGCTCATGTAAGAGAATGGGGACGAATCTGCAGGAGACACGAGCTATTTTCGCTCCACCGGAAAAATAAGCACTAAATCTGGTACGCGATTACACCCATGTAAATGGCACCCATCCTTGCTGTGATCTTATCAGTACCTCTGAGGCTGAGCCATTATCGTGCACTTTGGGGTCCGAAGGAAAATTTGCTGCCGCTGGGGGTTATTAATAGATTTCCTTGCAGTTCTTGTTCACAGCATCCGAGCCCTGATATAATCCTGTTATCCTGCGAAGCGCCATCTTCATGGCTTCAACTTCTGAAAGTCAACCGAGTTGAACATGGCATACACTCTTACAAACAATTCCCCTGCGCAGGCTAGCCCTACCAAGATCCTTCTGCATGGTCTTGGAACGCTCTCCTTTTCCTACAGCTTTTACCTCTTGACAACATGGGACTCAGCATACTCTGATTCTTTCGGGTGGTACTTCCAGCTTCTCACTGTCGTAGGCCTCACCTTATCTCTTATCACATCAAGCCTTGGCCTCATCGCAGATCTTACGAGACATGGCGGCTTCTCAAGGACCAAGGATGCCATCTCACTTCTTGCGACACCTCTCGAAGTCATGATCGCAGTCTTGTACTGGTCTATCAAATTCCATGATCCATCTCTGCTCATGCCAGCCGACCTTGTCATCAATACCTGGGCTGATCTTGGGTACCACTTGGTACCTGCGGTGCTATTGGTACCGGACTTACTATTATATAGTCCCCGAGCGACTGTCACCACGAGGAGAATGATGTTCACCAGCACCATTTTAGCTGTCATTTATTGGTGCTGGATTGAATTATGCTATTACCAAAACGGCTGGTGAGTATAGCTGTCGACATATGATCTGATTCGCCAGCTAACACTTATAGGTATCCGTATCCCATGATGGATCAGTTCAATGCCATGCAGCGGGTTGCAGTATTCGTTGGATCATCAGGACTACTTACCTTGACATCATCTTCTCTCCAATCGGTGCACGACAAGGTGCACCGTCTCGATGTGACGAAGGTCAAACCGAACTAAAGGTGTAAATCAAATAAGGTCACTGTGGACTCAGGAAGAGGTGCCTAAGAGGATTTGGAGAGGCGGATTTCTACTCCAGCTTTGATGTGGCCAAGCCGGCGAGTCACTACGCCGAAGGATTAAGGATTTTACAGGCCGTATTCATCGAATGCCAGACAGTGAAATAAACTCATTGGCTAGCCATTGAACCCATGGAGGACGGTGTTTAGCCCCCAGTGAATCATGCTCACTAGTTGACTTTATCGAACTGGGAGCGTTATTGATAATGTCAGATCGAAGTTTAGAACAATAAACCAGCAAGAATGGCAACATACGAGGCCAAGCCCCTTCCTCAACGGATCAGAAATGGAGTTTAAACATGAGAGAAGTCATATACCTGACGAACATCAACGACTATGCGGCAATGAATGAAGTTTGTAGGTGTCATGTTCAAATATCCTAATGAAGAGCGCTGACTCTCCTATGGATATTGGGACGATCCCCAATCCCAAGCCTGCGCGGGTCTGTGTGACAGTCTCAGAACTGGGCAAAGGCGCCAAGGTGAACTGTCCGCCTATCAAAAAATGGGTGATAGACTAATTCACAGCTGCCAGGTCGAGATTGACTGCATAGCCATTGTCGAGAAAGCTTTGCAAGACACTATGATGTTAAGCTTTGAGGAGAATCTGGCCTCTAATGACATAACGTTTCTCGTATAGCAGAGCCTCTCCATAAACATTTCAAAAACGAGAGAAGAAATAGGGACAAGATGTAATGGATTATTTTTTTAGATAATATTAAAGATGAGAACGACGGTACTAGTGCCCTTATCAGTGAAGCGATGCTATGAGATTGACGTCAGCATCATGTACCCACATTTGCGCCCTTTCACTGTCATATTCCTACTTGAGTCATAATTGCTGCAACTTTTATTCCTAACATTTCTCTACCGCACATCTGTCCCCTCGAAAATTGTACGATCGAGATATCAGAAAAGTAAAGATGAGGACTCTTCTATTGCTTGGAGGCATGACACCAGATGTCACAGCCCTCTACTACAGCATCATCAACAAAGTCGTCAGAATCAAACTGGGCGATCGAGCATCAGCCCCGTTATATCTGTACAGCGCCAACCTCGAAGAAATGATCCAGCATGCCATGAAAGGGGACTGGGATGAGTTCGCAAAGGTCTACAAGAAACCAATCCGATCTCTGAGCGACAGAGTTGATGGCATCGCGATCTGTGCCATTCTCGCACACAAGGTCGCCAAAAAGTTATTTGATGACAACTCAGCGGCTCGTGTCCCGCTGTTTCACATCGCGGACTGTCTCGCACTCCACATCACCAACAATCATCCATCAATGAAGAAGCTTGGCCTGCTCGGGCCCAAAATCTCGATGCTCGATTCAGATGATCCGGATTTCTTCGTGGCTATGCTAAAAAAAGCTGGTTTTGAGATTCTGATCCCGGAAACACCAGAGGATATTGAGGAAGTTAACAGAGGCATGCTTCAAGAAGTGGCGAAGGGTGTTGCTTCTGTGACAGACTCAACAAGAAAGATGTTCGGTGAGCAAGCCAAGAAGCTTATCGATAGGGGAGCTCAAGGCATCATACTAGGTAGTACGGATTTAGGGTTTGTGCTAAAGCAAGAAGATGTTGGAGATGTTCCGCTGTTTGAACCAGCTGCTATTCATGCGCAGGAGCTAGGAATATGGATCTGCGAAGGAGACGAAGACAAATCGCCTTAGTTCTTGTACATTGGAAATAGGCATCGCAATGCCATCGCAATTGAATTATCACTGCGCAGAAAATACCACCAGTCATTTGAGCTTTTCCCATACTGGCATGGCATGTGAGAATGACTCAAGGCTACGGGTATGTTCTCGGCAATAATAATCACATTTTGCGGGGCGACCTTCGGCCCGAAATATTTATGGACAACCGAAATCCCGATTCATTCACCAACGCTTCGTCCGGTCATCAACAAACGCGATTAATTTTATCTACTAACAATCATGAGTGCAGTCGACGCTAGGTCTCCGCATCCGGGATCTGATGGCGCCCTCTCACGTACAGCCTGTGAGAGATGCCGCAGGCAAAAGGCTCGTCTTGTCCCCCCCCGAAAGACCATGTGCTGACACTCGGGCCGACAGCTTCGTTGCAGCCGTCAACGTCCAACCTGCACGCGATGTAGCCGCTTCTCGGTCACCTGCGCCTACCCTGAGTTGGCCGATCGTAGACGTCTCGCAGCTCGTCGCGAATCTGTGCGGGGCGAGCAGACCCGCCCTTTCTCTGATGCAGCTCCAGTGACTCCAGAGTCGACAGAGCTCAATGTTGCTGTAGTCAGAAGTCCTTCGGTGACTCCAAGAATCCACAGTGTTGGCCATGTTGATATTGAGCCACCGCGAATAGAACTTGCAGTTCCAGGATCTGCCGGCATCAACCTGGATGATCTACCGCCACGAGCCATTGGGCTCGCGCTCTTAGATATCTATTTTGAACGGTTGTACAATGCTACCTTGCTTTTTAACCGTACTCAGCTCTTTGAGTCTTACCTGGATGGTAGTCTACCTCCTTATCTATTGAGGAGCATATTTGCATTATCTTCATTGTAAGCATCTACTTCCAACTCGGTCCTCTTATTCTGACAACAGTATAGATTCCTTCGTAAACCACGATATCAATCGCCCAGGCTCGGGAGTCATGCTGTCTCTACAGAACTTGCAGCTTTTGCTACATATGCTAGCTATGGAGATGCTTGGGCCGAGTCAGCAAGACGTGAGGTGTGGCTCCTTACAGATCGACCGACCGTTCAAGTAGTTCAAGCTCTTTCATGTCTCAACCTATACTGGTTTGCCACAAGAGATCTAGACCGAGCTCGGATCAACGCTGGTATGTGCAATAACTATGAATTGAACATTGAATCTCCTGACGCCTGAACTAGTTATGGCCTATGCATCAGCCACTACATTTCGCTCCATTAACGTCTCAGACAACGAGACGCGGACAAAGAACGGGCTGCAGCTTATAGAAAGAAAGCACGGCTGCTTTTGGGCATGCTGGGCAACGATGTCCATCTCTTCCTTTCCTGAAGCATATGCGAAGAACGCTTGGGAAGAAGCTTGTAATGTGGCCCTTCCTATTGCATCAGATGGGTTTGCCAGTGATGCGAACGTCGGGCATCACTACCACATGACGGTGGAATGGAAGCCAGAAGGTCTCAGCGACGAGCTTAATCCTCCTTCATCAATCATGGCAGAACACATGAGACTCATGGGGGTTTGGTAAGTTCCTAATCACGATGCCTGGTGACAACACTAATATTTCATTCTTTCTCAAGGGTTAAAATCCAGCTTCTAAATAGACACAAGCAGGAGAGTCCAGACGTCGCCCAAATTCTCCACTTGTCCAGGTTGGCGAAAGATATTTATGACTCGAGCCAGTTTCCTCCTTACACTACAGGCAACGAGAGTACTGGCAATATTGCGCGGCTGCTAGGACTACACTCATTGTACCATCTTTGCCAAATAGTTCTTCTTTGTCCCCTAGTTTCTCTTTTCTCTGGTCGACGAGGCATCGCAGGGGCAACGACTCAGACCCATGCAGAGACAATCATCAAGCATGCCATTCACCACGGGCATCTGATCCGGGACTATCTTACCAGACGGCAGGATGTATCGAAACTCAGCTCTCATGTCGGCTTTGCTAGCTTTGTGTCGACATCAATCATCCTTACCCTCTTGAGGTCAAGGGCTCGCCGACATCATGCTGATGGAAATACACGGGATCATGTGTCCCACGCACTCGTGACACTGATTCAGGATAGTATCGATATACTCAGCATTCTCCAGACTTTCTGGGAACACCTAGAGCCAATGGTAAGTCTAGTTAACCACTGATCTGTCTAACAGAGCATTCTGACATGCGTAAAATAGACTAGTAGCCTGCAGCGGGCTGCTGACCTAGTACTAGGGCCGTTCGACCGCGACCGGCATAGCATCACAGGAGCCGAGTCTAGACCCATCGAAATCCCGATGACAGGAGTCAATAGTCCAGCGCGCGAGGAAGATGTCATCGCCACTACGTATATCGAGTCCCCAGAGTATCCGAATGGCCAGCATTCCGCGAGCTCCTACGCGAATTCCCATTTTGGGGTTACAGATAGGGCCGTGGAACATATAACACATAGCGTCGTTGAGACTGCTGATTGGCATCATCATAATCTATTCGAGTGGTGTCAGACAGAGGGACTTCTCGACATTGGCGACGACTTCGTGGACATTGGCAATTCAGTCGATTGGAAAATGGACTTGGACCTATTGACGGGTTTCTCCTCGCAGATGGCGTGACCTAGTTATGTATAGATACCTATATACATCCCAGTGCCCCATAAGGCGCATCAAGCAAATTCCTTGGCGGGCAAAATCTTGGCTGATACTTTTCCGAAGCCGATTGCACGATCTCCCGTACCAGCCCATCCTTCCATAGTAACAGTATCGCCGTCTTCCAACCAAACCAATTCAGACCCATCAGATAAGGTGAAAGGCCGAGTGCCGCCCAACACAAGCTCCGCTAAACACCCAGACCTACGAATTGGGTCATGATCACTTCCGAACTCCTTGATCTGCTCGGTGCTGGAAGAGAGCGTACCAGTGCCGAGCAAATCACCAGTTTCCAGACCACATCCATAGCTACTATGATGAGCTACCATCTGGAAGGGTGACCAGTGGAGGTGTTTAAGATCAGACTTTCCGAGGAGGTCCTCCGTTACCCCGTTTCCTGTTTTATATGTTAGAAACCTCAACCCTAGGATGTCGCTGATGCTTCTGAGAACTTACGGGACAGTGATGTAGAAACCCTTACTGCGACATCGTATTGACATCGAAGAAACGGCATGGTCGTGCTCTTTCCTCCTCTCAAGCCCAGATCTTCGGTAGTTAGTAGTGCACCAGCCTCCTCCAGAGCCTCAACCGTCACGATCCAAGGCGAAATACTCGTTGCTGTAGCTTTACCGTTAAATGGTCCTAACGGAGCCATCTTGTAGAATTGTATATCTCTCGCACTCCAGTCATTCAGAAGTACAAACCCAAAGACATGATCACGAGCTCTGGACGCTGGAGTCGGTTCGCCATACTTGATTGGATTGGAGATGAAAACTCCCATTTCGAGCTCAAAGTCGAACTTCTCGCTTGGAGCATATGTTGCGCCGTTGGGTCCGGGAATGATACCATGAGGTCTAGTGACGTTTTGGCCACTGACGATGACGGATGATGCCCGGCCGTTGTATCCTGCTGGTAGATCGAAGAAGTTCTGAGGAACTTCACTGTATCCTGCCATTCGGCCCATCTATCATGTGCAGGTCAGGGATTGGCAAGATGTTATCAAAATAGCCTGACATACAGTTTGAACGTGTTCTAGCGAGCACATGAAGTCCGTGAAGCCGCCAATCTTCATTGGGACGTGCATTGTAACTTGGTCGGCTGCGATGACACCGGTATCTTCTCGGTAGAGTACGGAAGACTCATCTCGTAAAGCCTCTTGAATGGCCTTCCGGAGGGAGTTGCGTACATTAGCCGCAAGCGCAGCAAAAGCATTCAGTGAAGACTGTTTTAGTAGATGTCTTTGTTAGTCGAGTCGACCAAGGCTCTTCGAACTTTCGCCGTTACTAACGGATGCCAGTGCGTCTTTCACGGACTCATCTACGCGTAATCCGTTCTGGATGAGAACTCTAAGGTCTAAAACGTAGTCGCCAACAGCCGTTCCCGGTCGCGGATCAAGCTATCCAGTAGGTAAGTATAAGCGAACGCAGATTCTTTTGTGAGTACTCTATTTTCTTACATTACCCTCGGTGTGGAATATACCGAATGGAATATTCGATATAGGGAATGGCGATCCATTCGGTATCGGAAATGGGTATTGAACCATTTTCTTTGATCTTCGCTACTGTGGCCTCGGGCAGCAGGAAAATAGCAGACCTTGGTAAAATGTGCCAAAATAAACTTAGCAGAGTTATACTAAGTTTATACCAAGTTACCTAAGTCTTTTCAATACTTAGGATCAAGGTCCTGAGTTTTTTTCCTCCCCTAGTATGGATATACGACTGGGGACAGAAAACTCTCGCGTTTGTCCTGTCGATCACGGAGAGTCCAGGTTTATTGAGAGGATGATGCGTTGACCGAAGTTATAAAGAAGTATTGAAGGATTGAGCCTGAAGTCACTATGACAATTTATGTAGTATTTACATGTAAATCCGCGCAATCTGAGGTAAGCCGACGGAATCCCTCCTTACGCCATGCGTCATGTTTGTTCGGGCCGGAGTCCGCTGGAGTGGAGCTTCGGACGTCGGACTCGGGGTTGGACTCGGGGCCACGCTACGCCCCCTCATGAATCTTCCTATGTCAGCATATAGTAGGTCTAATTACATATATAGATAATCCTAATGCTTACAGTGGAAGAAAAGTCATCCTTCTCACCAATCTTAATCACCTTTGTGTTGGTTTAGCAGGAATAACTTCAAGATGTCTTCTACTTCCCCTCCAAACTTCATCTTCATCAAGAATGCGACGGTCTTGACAGTAGACCCACAAATTGGTACCGTGGCAAACTCCGACATTCTCATCCAAGATGACCGAATCGTTGCGATTGGGCAAGCTCTGCCAAAACCTGCCGAAGGCAATGTCACTGTTGTCGACGGCCAAGGATGCATCGTTACGCCGGGCTTTGTCGATGGCCACCATCATATGTGGCAGCAGCTTTTGCGGGGTGTTGCAACGGACTGGTCGCTTTTTGACTACACTGTCAATATGCGAACCATTTATGGAAGCTTATATACACCTGATGATGTGTACCTGTCTACTTATGTTGCAGCACTGAGTCTTATCAATAACGGTGTGACTTCTGTTCTCGAGCACTGCCATATCATCAACTCGCCGGATCATGCCGATACGGCTGTGAGGGCACTCCAAGACGCTGGGATCAGGGGAACATTCTGTTATGGCTTCTATGCCAACCCACCTTTGCCCGATCAGCTTGATCCGAAAGGCTTCTCCCATGCGTCGCGGCTTAGCGATGCTGCCAGGATAAGGGACAAGTTCTTTGGTCAGAACGATCCAGCCGAGCATCTTCTCACATTCGGTGTAGCTCCAGATGAGCCAGAATCTCTGCCTATTGAAGAGACCATCATGCAGATCGAACAGTCGAGAGAGCTTGGAGCACGCATAATCACCATGCACGTTGCGATGGGGCCCTATGACTTAGCGCGACGCCAGGTTGTACAAAGCCTTGCCAATAAAGGTATTCTGGGACCAGACCTCGTCTTCAGCCATGGTTCGTCCTTCACCGAGAGTGAGCTTCAGGCGATCAAGGAGTCGGGTGCTTCCATCGTCGGTACGCCAGATACAGAGTTACAGATGGGTATGGGATTTCCCATCGTCTTCCAAGCTTCTGATCAAGGTTGTCGCACATGCTTGGGCATAGATATTACTTCCAATCAGGGAAATGACTTTATCGCTCAGATGCGGCTCGCACTACAAGCTCGTCGAGCCCAGGAAAACGATCAAGGGTTTCCACTTTCCATTAATCGCAAGACAGCAGACATCCTTCGAATGGGGACGCTGGGGGGTGCAGAGGTGATGAGAATGGAAGAACTCATTGGTTCCATTGCAGTTGGGAAGAAAGCAGATCTTGTTCTCATCCGCTGTGATGATATTGAGAATATTCCGGTGGGTGATCCAGTTGGGTCAGTCGTGTTTCATTCGTCAGTGAAGGATATCGATACCGTCATCATCGATGGTCAGATCAAAAAGCGGAACGGAAAGTTGACAGTTGATTGGGAGAGGCTAAAAGCGGAGGTCATTCTTCGCGCAGAACGTATCAGGACTGAGGCTTCTAAGATTGATCTGACAGCAGCTAGGAAACTTTGGATGGATATGTTTCATGTAAAAGACATGTCAGCATGAACATCTTTTTTTGACCTTGTTGTGGAGAGAATTGATTGTTTGACAATTATATTTTACACATACCGTAAAGAGGAAACTCGCCAACTGAGAGGTCATCTTCTAACATTACATGTTAACTTGCATCAACTTCAATAGGCCAAGATGGGCCCCATCTATCTTACCCAACTACTTCGCGATGATAGCCTTGGTCTCAGGACCGAGATTCTTCTCATTGAAAACGTACTCGCCGTCGAGTGACCTTTTAAATGCAATGCTTTTAAGCCGCTGGTATTCTCTAATGCCGTCGTCGATACTCACTCGCATACGGCCGAGGACCAGTGCAATAATACTAAGAATCAAGTCAGCGTATTGGGGGCTGCGAGAGGCAAGAAAACTTCAAGGCCTTGACCCTAAGTGAGAGAAAGCTTTAGATAATCTTGAACAAGGTTATTTGAACTTAGGTGACTTCTTACTAAGTTTATTTCAGTATCCTCCTTTTACGTCCGAGGTTTTCTTGCTCCCTATAGGGGGGGGGGGGGCGAGGAATAGTTGTTTGGCCAGTAAGGACAGTGGCAACCAATGATCCAACGCAACCATTTAAGGTCCCTAGTGGGGTATTGGCCCGGTTGATAAAGATTAATGCTTGCTGATAGTTGTGGTTACTGCCTCTCAAACAGCCGGTTCCACAGCCCACGAGTTGCAGAGTGTAGACTAAGTCGGTTATGGCTCCGTGAGACAGCAGTGCTTCTTCTTATCCCTGGTAGTCGACACCACGAAGCCAAAAGCACGGTATGCTGTTGGAGTTAGGCACTTCAAGGGTGATACATTGTGTCAGGAGGGTTGCTGCAATGCGCGGGGACGTGGACGGGTTTTTCGCTGAGTTGGACTGATAGTAGATGCTCATAATGCTCGCTGAGTATAGTTGTCTATACATATCTATGAATCGGAGCACGGGAGGAGCTCAGAAATACATGGGTGCAACTTGCACGTTGTCGTGAGGAATCTAATGCGAATCTGGCAGCTCCATTCCTCCCTGGTCTTCACCCAATGCACGGCCATTGATCTCGACCGGCGTCGCATGGAACAAGATGAACACAATCCTAGCCCACTTCTCAGTTCTGTTGAACCACTGGTGATTTGTCCCTCTCTGAATCACAACATCCCCCGGGTGGATAGTCCGGGTCTCTCCCGAGTCCAGTAAACACTCCAGCTCGCCATTGATGAGGATGCCATAGTCGAGACTGACGGTACGATGCATCTGCGACTTTGAGGCTGGAGGGATATCACAATACCGCAAGATGGTACCACCATGCTTTACTAAACCCGACTTCTGTTTGTTTGCATATGCTTCTTTGAACGTCGAAAGATCTTTGTCATTTGCAAGCGGTATCGGTAGTCCTTCGGTGACGTAGCCGAGCTCAAAGTCGGCAGAGTTTCCCTCGCCTGCACTGACCTCCCAGAAGTTCAATGACTCGTCGAGATCTTTGGAGTAACATGATTTGCCGCTCGAGTCGTGTGTTGTGATGAAGCGGTGGATCGAGGGAAGCGCTTTTGGGCGGTCGGAGTTTGAAGACATGGTGATTAGTTGGATGATTCTTCTTTGGAGTTCAGATGTTTCTCTAAGCAAGGAAAATCCAGCAGCATCGAATTCCGCGCTTTATGTCTTGTGTAGGATTCGGGATGTGGAGAACAGTTTCCAGGTCGGGATCGTTCTTAGTGTCGTCCGAAACACGGCCCGATGGTATTGGCTTGACTGGGCGACAACAAAGTCGGCCCGAGTGTTGACAATTCTACTGCAGAGCCATAAGGACGATGCCTTCTGTATGACCAAAGAAATATGTAGGCCATGGGTGCGAGACGTTGGTTGATGTCCTTTCGGTCGCATTCCTGTGCCGACGAGTCCGCAGTTTCTGGTGATCGCAAAAGAACAGGCCGGATCAACGAAGAGGAACTGTGAGTCGAGCAACTTGCCTCTCGTCGTGGTCGGTCGAGACTTCGTCATCTCCGACTGTAAGTCTAGTCACAGTGGTCCAAAGGTTACGGAACAGGTTGCTTACATCGCTACAGCGTTTGAAGCATCGTGCCATGTTTGCCGTGACCTTTTGGCAGAGCTCTTGAGCACTGCAATGAACGGGTCGACAACGGCAATGGTCCTAGAAGCCCAAGCTTTGTAGACCGCTTGAAGAACAGCTACAGCGGGGAAGTTCTTCTGAGTACAATGGTTGAGTCCGCCGCAATGACAAACAAGGTTCACGATGGTTCTGTGTCGAGACACAACTGACCCTCGGGCGCATTGCGTTTTCACAAACGCGCGCTGGGAAAGTGTCAACGAAATGTTCATCGGAAGTTGGCAAGTATCGGCAAACGGCAAAGACTTTCAAGAGGCTGGGCAAGATTAGCGGTCGCGAACTGCCTCAGTCCCTGGTTGTCGGAACGAGGCAAAGAAGGAGTCTGAGAAGCTTCCGCGGTCTGGGACGACGTTGAACTTGAGCGCAGGTACGGAACGGGAGTCCAACAGAAGAGCAAAGACTGCGCAAGTCTTGGAGTATATGTATCGAGGCCTGTCGCTTCTGTGGATGGCATAGCTTTCGCCAAAATCTTGCAAGGTAATGTTTCGGCTCTGCGGTATCCGTCGCTGGGTACGGCGTCATCGGGACTTGAGCGCAGCCGGCGGAATGTCCATCAAGAATGAACTCGCCATCAACGGAAGAAACGTGAAACGCGTCGCTTCAAAGGACATGTCGGCTCGGCCAGCGCCGATGGTGACGAATGTCGAAACGCCAGGCAGCTTTGTAATGATGTCGAAGAGCGCTGGCTTGAGAGCGACGAGGGGTCGGCTTTCTGACAGTACGAGTTGAAGCGTTCGGAGACTCTGGGTAATGGGAAGGGGACGAAGACAGTGTCAAGGGCGAGATATCGTTCGATCGAAGGAGGGTTCGAATATAAGGAGCCTTGAGAAGCGACCACGGCGTGGCATTTGGGTCAGCAGGCAGCCACGACGATGCTACAGGCGAGCAAGAGAGAATGGACGGTTTGACGCAATGCAAACAAGGAGGACGGTGCAATCACCGAAGGGAATCGAACAGCAGACAAGGGAGATGAAAAGGGGCTCACAAAGGACATGATCAGAATGAAATGGTGAAGAGACAGAGTGCAAGCACAATTGAACAAGGGCGCCTGAGGTGTACGGCAGATTGGGCAAGCTTCAGTGAAGCTTGTCCAAAGTGCTGAGGGATTTTGTGGTCAGGCTCTCATCGTTGACGCAGAGTGTCGCCGATGGTTCCTGGTGTAGTGTTCAACGGGGAAGTCTCGCCACAGAGACAACCACGAGGCTTTCGAAGAAAGAAGCATCAAGAAGACATCGTCGATCGGTATCGAGGGCGGCGGTCGAAACTGGGGTCGGCGGTGCAGTGGACGAGGCTGAATGATCAGGACCTCTTTCGAACTTCGGCTGAGGGAAAAGCGGACGGAGCAAGGTCTATGGGCAATGCTGCTTTGTCGTATGCTGTGAAAGGGAGAGCCTCAAACGCAGGAGTCGTCGTCCAGTGATGTCGAGGTCTGAAGGCGGAGATGGAGGAGATGGAGTCACAGGTGAATAGCGGTAATGTTTGATGTTTTGGGGAATGTCACGCTGAGACCTCACAGTACGGAATGTTTTCCTTTGGCTCAGTACCACCAAGTGGCCCTGGTTGTCCAATACGTTTCAGTAATATTGATTGCTAATCTCAAAGTGCAGTCACTGTGGTCAGCTCGGGGTAGGACAAGGTACGTGGCGGTAGGGATCATGATTCCCCGCGTTGCATTGTCACAGCCTGATCTTTGATGTACCCAGCTCCTTTCCTTGTCACATTTCCATCACAAAATCACGAGGAGAATGGTATCAAAAGACGCGGGAATCTTTGCGCGGCCGCTAAGCTGAAAATTAGAGTGGATGAAAGGTGGGAAATGAGAGTCAAAAGGCTAATAGACACAGGGACAGCTGCGAGGCCGATGTCGATGACGTGCATGCTGACAACGAAGATCCCGGATTGGAGAACAAGGGGCAGCGTCTTTGCCACCCAAGTTCGAATGTGAAGTCTGGATCTACTCTCGATCGCGGTTCAGTTGTCCGACTACAGTCAACAGTCTTACGGGCGGAGAATCGACATCAGGCGAAAGCTTGACCATGACTACGACTACGACCGCGACGGGGACCGCGATGAAGATCGACAAGACACGCGTGCACTGACCAGCGAAGCGAACATTTTCGTCCTTCCGACCGAGGCCTACCGAGACGAAGCTATCGCCAGCCCGCCAACCTACACCGAGTTACCTAGCACAATGAAGGTAACACCGTAACCGCCACACGAGCCCTTTCGAATACGAGCCGAAGTCGAACCGAGCCCGAGAAATAAAATAAACATGATGCAGTGATGACGTTACGCAAGGATACACAGTGACATGATCCCGGGTGGCCAAGTTACATCGGCCGCCATCAAGATAGATGCGGCTCTCGCTTGACAACTCACGTCGATCTGCCCTTACCCCATCCAGGGTACAGATGTCTCTTGCCATGTAATGCTACTCGTCAACACGACACATCCATGCTACTTTAGTTTGGTAGGGTTTGTTGAACGCTAGCGAACTTCTAGCTATCACGTGAAAGAACTGGACTTGATCTTGACCACCGAGTAGCCAACTTGGATGATCCCAAAGCGCTAAAGGTTTAGATAAGTTTAGGATAACTTAGGATAATTTAGGAAATCTTAGGATAACTTAGACTGACTTAGGATGACTTAGAAGACCCCTTGACTACAGACTCTTCATCCTGTCTCAATTCTACTGTCTCAATCTCCTGCTTCTGACTCCGGGGCCAAGGTCCGCTGGTGCTTAGTTAGGTCACCCCCCTGGCCGCAAACACAAGTTCTGGCCCTGCCATCCGCCCACATCTCTTCGTCTTGAGTCACTTGGTTCTCCTGTCCCACAGCAGGAACGCGTTCACCCCGCGGGCCCCGCGCCCCAGTGGACGTGACTGCTGCTCGGCGGTCGCTGTGACGACGAGACTGGAGTGAATGGGCGCAGCAGACTTGTAGAGCCTATCATAGGCTCAGAACTTCGGCATGTGACTCCAGTTCAAGCGCTAGACCCAACCTCAGACCAGGCAGAGGCTACAGAAGCGAGAAGAATGACGTGACCGAGGCTGGAGGAACAGGCTATGGCCTATCATGTGACATGCTCCCAGTCTGCCACTGACAGTTCGAGAAGAAACTCCTAGTGACCCGACTGTAGGAAGCCCCACTCCTGCAGACACAGATCTTGCACACCTCCCGAGTTTCCCAACACCTCCCGAGTTTCCCAACACCTCCCCATATCATCACTTTTTGATCACTCAACATCCGCACTCAACAGCAACCTTTTGGCATCTCGCGCTTCACCCGTGTATCTCACCCGAAACATCTTTGGATAACTCGAACATCTAACTTATTGTTTTCATCTCGAAAACTGGACAAGGTAGTTCTCTGTCTTTCACCTCTGTCGTTCGTCTCTAAAGGTCTTTTTAGTTCATCTCCAGTCGCCTTTGTGGTTACTAGAACTTTCTCTTGCCAATACAATAACAGTGACGGCAACCAAACATGTCGGGGTTTGAACTAGACCCGATTGCGACTGATGCATATACGTTTGCACATGGGGAAACGTTGTTTACCCATATGAAGATGATCGACAATCTATTGCCATACTTCAATATTTCCTTCGAAGACTTTGTTGTAGCCCCAAAGAAAGCGCTGGAACACACCAAGTGGGAAGACTACGAAAGACTCGTCAACCAGCGTGGAGTTGAGGCTTTGTCAGCAAGCGGCGCCTGTACGGTACTCGCAATCCGGGTGTCCAAGGCCTTGGAGGCAAATTATCCTTCGAAGTATGACTTCCGAATGTATAACGTTGGGATGCATAGGATATGCCGATGCTTCAAAACCTATGTCGTGATAGATTCCTCCAGTCGACAAGGTGCGATAATCGTACCACCGGGAAAGGAGTGGCCGTACGGGAGCGGTACCTTGTTGTGGCGTTCTGACGGCACCGTCAGAGAGACGACCGGAAGAGGATTGAGTGATCCATGAGCTCCCAACTCAACATCAGTAAGGGTGTGCAAATATATTCTAACATTTGTTTAACAGACCGTGTTTGACTTCGACTCGATTTCGTTCCAGGAGGGCCTCGTTACTTGTCTGTGGGAAATTGCCGAAAGCGCAGACCTGATTACTCTGTTTAGGTAATCTTCGTTTTACTTTCCTTGCCTTCTTAGGCGGTACGCCTGCCTAATATCTTTAGATTCACGAACGACTTCGGAAAACGCTGGACCAGGGGACTCATCCGGTGGGTCATTAAGGAAGATGGTCGTAACCGCCCTGGTGCTAAGTATCTCGTGCTCAGTAAATACAAGGCAGACGAACAGCCCGACCGAGTTGTCTGGAGGGAGGGGAAACCTGGGTACCAGGAAAAGAAAGGAACAATGAGCACTGACTCCGAAGCATAGAAAGCGGTCGAGACTCTCGTGTATTCCGAGGACGGATGAAAGGATCTATGGAAGAACGATGATTGCTGCCTTGTCCACCGCCGCATCTGGGATGCTTTGGTCAAACGGTACGGCTTCCCCGTGTTGGAAAAGGGCCGGGATCCCGATGCAAAGAAGGGGCATAGAAGCCTGCTTCCATGATCAGCAAGACCTTTATGATCAACTCAGAACATCTTCCATGCCTCAACGCTAGGGCCCAGGTCCCGCCTAAGCTCAGATTCCTCAACTATCTCGACGAAAATAGTCTCAACCAAATTTTCGAACATTCTGTCTATGGTCCTCAACGATCTCCATGTATTCTTATTCGACACATGGCATACGATTTCTTTCATACTATATCATTGAGCTGTGTATGCTAAAGCGTTTTCACTTTCACCTGAGATGCTTTAGATGACCATTTGACAACTACTGGCTTCGCGAACCGGGCATCAATCCCCCTTCTTGTATACGATGCAAGCTCGATGAGTACGATATCATCTGTACTGCAGTGCGGTCCCTGGGACAGATTATGGCGTGGGCAGGTTGGTAATTGTATATATAATGGTATTGTGAGACGAAACTCAAGCGACAAGTGACATACCAAGATTGCTGCTTTTATGGCCTCCTAGCTCGCTGGCTTAACTGCGGCTCAGCTTTGCATC